AAGCAGAGACAAAATGTCACTCAGAAAGAAGTCGGAAGGGTGCTGGAGCTGTGGGTACTCGTTTCTCCTTGACGTCCAAGAAGACTCATTTCTTAATTCCCTCCTGAGGCCGCAGACTTTCCTCTTACCCACAGGAGCCCATGGGACTGCACTCTGCCCCATCCAGAGCACAGGCTGATATAACCAAATGGTGTGCCTGGCATTGACCTCAGTCAGCAGGGTTTGCCAAATACACACAAATCATTTCTGGCCCTAGAAGTGTCTTGAATGCTTGCAACTTAAGGCAAACTGCCAGAACCGCTAGGTCTAGCTATCCAGAACCTTCGCCAGGCCTCTCCTCTCAACAGCCCCAACTGGGTGTGGTGGCATATACTTATAATCCCTGTTCTTGGGAGGTGGGGGTAAAAAGGATCAAGTGTTTGAGGCCAGTCTCAGACACAGTGAATTCAAGGCCAGCCTGGGCTACATAATGAGACTCTTATCTCAAAAAAAAAAAAAAAAATTATTTTTAGAAGCCACCTACCAAGGTGGTTATAATAAATAAAAGGACATGGAAATCACTGCTGTCGCTTAAACCTTCCGTTTAGGTTCTGCCGGACTAGAACCTTCAGAAGTCGGTGTGGGTCAAGGGACAAAGTGGGAGGAGCTAAGGCGGGAGGCGGAGCTAAGGCCAGAGGCGCCAGGTCTAGACACTGTGCCCGCCTCAGCCTCTTCCTCCTCAGCACTGGAGTCAAACGGAAGGTTTTCCTGTATTTCAGGAAGCTTTGTCCTTGCCACCCTCTGTCTAAATACTTTCCTAAAGTTTCTTTTCCGGGACCCAGAGGCTCCAGCACCCCCAGATAGCTCACACTGTATCAGATAGGGCCTTCTGATTCCTGAGTACCACGGATGGTTACAGGCCAAGGTCCACCCTCAGGGGCCTGCTGGTCAGATTTGGCACTGGCCATCTGTTTGCTCCATTGGCAAAGTCTCTTCTGGGAACTTAGCCCAGAGAAGAGACACACTAGGACTCTTTATTTATTTAACCCTACTGAAGAATTTGATTTGATTTGTTTGTTTGTTTGTTTTGAGACAGGGTTTCTCTGTGTAGCTTTTGGGGCCTGTCCTGGAACTCACACGGTAGACCAGGCTGACCTCGAACTCACAGAGATCCGCCTGCCTCTGCCTCCTGAGCACTGGGATTAAAGGCTTGTGCCACCACCACCTGGCGCGAAGAATTTGCTTTAAGTGTCCAGAGAGCAATAGGCTGTTTTCTGAAATTCAGATTTATAAAACCACCATCATCAGAGTGCCCTGGGTTTCCCTGAAAATGCAGGTCCCAGGGGCAGAGGAGATGGCTCAGTGGTAAGAACACTTTCTGGACAAGCGTGAGGACCTGAGTTTGAATCCCCAGCACCCGTAAGAAAAGCCTGGCATGACTGTGCACACATGAACCCCAGCACTGTGGGGGTGGAAACAGGAGAATCGCCTGGGTGTTCTGACTGCCAGCTTGTTTCCAGGTTCAGTAGTAGACTCTGCCTCAGGGGGATGGGGTGGAGAGTGGAGGAGTAAGCCAGCCAGTGGCCGCCCCGGGCTCTCCGTGTCTCTGTGCACATACATCACACACAGACACAAAGCAGGTCCCCCAGTTATCTTTAATAAACGCAGGTTCTGGACTCTTGCTGTACCTGCAGAATCAGAATCTGCAATGGTAAGAGTCAGGCATGACGGTGCACACCTAGAACCTCAGCAAAGGCTGGGGAATAATAACGAGTTCAAGGCCAACCTGAGCTACAAGGTGGGACATTGTCTGAACCAAGGGCTGAGCACTGGGGCTGTAGCTCAGTGGAGGACACTTTCCTGCCATCTACAAAGCCATGGGTTTGATCCCTGCGTCATGGACTCACACACATGCTTAGACTCTCTGGTATTAGAACCCCAAAGACGAGGTCTTAAAAGCTCACGGGGGATTTCAGTTCACACCAAAGCTTGACACTTGTTGGGCTAAAAATGAGGACTGACAAAGGGCTTTGGGGGGGGGTCACTTGCTGGACTGTGTGACCATGGTGGGGGGGTCACTTGTTGGACTGTGTGACCATGGTGGGGGGGTCACTTGCTGGACTGTGTGACCATGGTGACGCACAGGCTTGTCAGTCTTCCCACTCTGCAGGTCCTGAGAATTTGAACTTTCACTGACCAAGTAAAGAAGTAATTCAGGCCGGGCGCTGGTGGCGCACACTTTTGATGCCAGCACTTGAGAGGCAGAGGCAGGCTGATCTCTGTGTTTGAGGACAGCCTGGTCTACAGAGCAAGTTCCATGACAGCCAAGGGTACACAGAGACACCCAGTCTTGAAAAAAAAAAAAAAAAAGAGGGAATTCAGCTCAGGTGATGATTAGGCATCCTCTAGGGCCCTTTCTTTTATTCATACTGTCTCTGTGTGTGTCCCTGTATCTCTGTCTGTCTCTGTCTCTCCACAGAGTCTCTCTATATGTGTCTCTTTCTCCCTGTCTCTGTCTGTCTGTCTGTCTGTCTGTCTGTCTCTCTCTCTCTCTCTCTCTCTCTCTCTCTCTCACACACACACACACATACAACACACAGTCTTTCTGTGTAACCCAGGCTGGCCCTGACCTCATTGCCCTGGGGCCTCTCAGCTTCCCAAGTTTGGGGTTACAGGACATGCCTGGTATATTTTCAGGTCCTTCCTTCCTCCCTCCCTCCCTCCCTCCCTCGCTCCCTCCCTCCCTTCCTTCCTTCGTGTATTTTTTTTCCCCAAGACAGGGTTTCTCTGTGTAGCTCTGGCTGTCCTGGAACTTGCTCTGTAGACCACACTGGCCTCGAACTCACAGAGATCTGCCTACCTTTGCGCCCCCCGCCCCCCCCGGCTTTTCAGACTCTTTCTAACTTGAGTCACAAGGTTAGTTCATGGAGTCCAACAGCAGAACAAGGGAAGAACAAGTGCCCGAAAAGCCGAGAAGAGCCCGTCGGCAGATGGAAGCTGTGGGTCAGGAAATAGTACAGTGAGAGAGCGGAAGGACACAGTGGCCTTAGGCGAAGGGTGAGTCGGAGGTCAGGAGCTGAGGCTGAGTCCAAACGCTCTCATCCTTTCCCAGCAGGTGCCAAAGGGACCAGACACCGGGAGACCTAGGTGCGGCAGCAGAGCTGGGCCTGGGATGGCCGAGTTCACAGCGGAGTTGCAGAAGCTGTACGAGGAGGTGGCCTAATGAAGCAATGCGGGTTTGGGGTTTGACTGTGAGGAGCCTCGTGGGGGGTTGGCCCAAAGCAGGGTTCTCTGTGTATATAGCACCCCACAATGTGTGTATAAGAATTATTGGAAGACATGGATAATTTTTACATTTTTAAAATAATTAAGCTAGGCATGGTATATGTAACCTAGCACTCCTGAAGCGGGAAGATGAGGGCTACTTAGTGGGACTCTCCTCTCTCTCCTTCCATAGATAGAGATATGTATGTGTACATAGATGTATATATAGCATACGTATATATTTAGCATACATATGCACTCAAAATTCGAGAATTCTGAAAGGCTTAAAGTGAAAGTGTGTTCTGCATCTGTCCTCCGCTTCTGCATGAGTGCATGCCTCTCCGACTGCTTTCCTGCACCGTGGGACAAGTGGCGCCTGCAACGTGTGCTGCTTCTTCAATAATTTATAACTGCTACTAAAAAGTGTCCTTATCCCCCCACACACACCCTCTTTTTGGCTGCAGAATATGCCATTGCCTGAATCTGCTGTCCTTTGTTTAACCAGTTTCTTGCTGATGGACACAGATTAGCTGCAGCAAATAAAAAATGCACTTAAAAGAAATGTGTCGTTGTGTAATGAAGTCCTGAGGCAGCGATGCTGGATCAGAGGGTGCCTGCGTTCGTACTTTTCATCGGTGTGGCCAAATGGCTTTTCACACACACACACACACACACACACACACACACACACACACACACCACTGTTTCCACTTCCCCTTGCTAAAGGCTGTATGTTGTCAGACTTGTTGGCCCCCGGCAATCTGATATATTGGAGTGTGTGTCGGGACGGTTGTCGGGACAGATCTAATCTTTAGTTTTTCTTACAATGAACGTGTTAGACGGATTCTCCTGTTTGCTCCTTTGAACTTTCTGTGTGAACCCTGCTCATACTCTGCTCATTTTCCTGGGCTATTGATCACTCCCTTTGTGATTTGTAAGGAGCCCTCTGTGCATTAGGGCGCCCAGCCCCATTTTATTAACTTGTGAGTATCTTTGTAATTGGTGGCTTCGCTTTTAACTGGGCTTGTGATTTCTGCTGCGTATATACCTGTGTGCAGTCAAATTTATCAACTTTTCTGTGTGTTTCTTCAGTTTGAGTTGTACTTAGAAAGTCCTTAAAAGGGAATGTTTTGGACTTGCTGAATTTGCTAGGACACCAAACAGCAAGGCCCTTTATGCTATTTGCAATACAGGGCTGAAATTCCAGAGAGCAGTTTGTAGAAGAGATTTGCCTTATTTATTTCCTTTGGGAGAGTGTCCCATCTTTTAGACCAGACTAGCCTCGAACTCTCGACCTTCCTGCACTGCCTCCCCAATGCTGGAATTACAGATGTGAACCACTGTGCCAGGCTTTGAGGAGGAGGTTTGAAAGTCCTGAGTAAAAAGTGGCAGCTATGAGAGGACCAAGCTAGCACGAGAGAAGGGAGGTTTGAAGTGGAAGAAGTTGAGGCCAGGACAGCCCCTTCCTGCTCCAGAGCCTCCCTGTCCTGCAGGCCAATGGCTGCAGATGTGGAGGAACTCCTTACAAGGGTCCTCAGCTCCCGCTCACTGTCACCTGTGGTGTCAGACACACGAGTGAGGTGAGCACAGATGAGAACCCACAGGGAGGCCTCTTCCGGGGCTTCTCGGATCCCCTGGGCTATGTGGTATCAGATGTAGGTCAGGCCTGCCCACTGTGCCATCTGGGTCTTCCCCTCCCTAGTCTGAGCTCCAGGTCCTAAGCAGAAGCTCTTCCTTGAGGGCCCCAGCAGTGACCACGTGTCCTCACCCTCTGCCCTCCCCAGGGAACTCAAGTGTGGGGAACCAAACCTGTGGCCAGCTGCCTGCACCATGGCCAGGAGAAGGGGGTTCTGTGAATACTGCCAGGAGGCCTTTGCTCCCTGGGGTGAGCCCCTTCCCTAAGAGGCAGTCGCTCCCCACACTCTCTGAGGGAGCCCAGTTCGCCAAGGAGCCTTGCCTGCCCAGTCTCCTCTGTGGCATGTCTAACACCAGAAGCGCTGGCATCTGGGCTGGTCCCACCCCAGCCTTATCGAATGCCCTGCGCCTCCCCCTGGCCAGCATCCTCCGAGTTTCCAGCACCACGGCTTTGCCACCGCTTTGTGGACATAACTTTTTGGGGGTCAGACTCCCCAAATGAGCAGAACCAGTCACATCCAGAACCCCGAGTGAGGTGAGCGGCGTCAGGAGCCAGGCTGTACTGTTCTAACTTTCTTTCCACTGACCTCTGTCCAGGTCACAGAAGAGGTGGCCGTGGGCGTGGCGGGGAAAGGGCAACCCTGGCTACCTGAAAATGGGTGTACGGGGTCCCTGGGTCCCTCCAAGATGGGTGACAAGCAAGGTCTTTCTCACTTTCTGGAAGTTATCCACCCCAGAAAGGATTGTAATGTGAGGACCTCGGGGTCTTCTGACCCCAGCTCTCCCCTGCGTCCGCCAAGGACAGACACTCTCCCCCAGAGCCGGGGCTTCCCCTGCTGCCTGCCTGTATCACCTCTGGATTCAGCTTGGACAGCGAGCTCTGTTCTGCCTTGTGCAGCGACCAAAGGGCACAGCCACCAAGTGGAGCATCCTCTCATCCATTCTGTGACCAATTCCAACCACAGATCTTCGAGCCAGAAGAAGCACACAGCCCTGGCTGCCCTGGCGTGGCAAACTCAAACAAAGCCCTCCACGCACCCCCCCCCCCCGCAGAGGTGCCCCCCACAGGCCACTCCCCTGTCCCCAGCCCAAACCAGCAGACTCTCTTGTCAGGGAGGCCTTCCTCTTACAGGATGTGTGTCTACCCTCACAGGCTGTCAGGGTCCCTGGCTCTGATTGTGACCCACTCTGTCTTGAGAGTCCACCCCCTGGCCAGCCATCCCATCTTAGGGCAGCATCTCCTGGGATGAAGAAGGAAAGTGGCGGCCAGACTCCGGGTGTCCCAGAGCAGAAGGGGACAGTGGACAGCACAAAGGCACCAGCTGACCCTGCAGTGGCTTGGTGAGGTGCCAGGACCAGAAGCAAGATGTCTGGGGGACCAGCTGGTTTGCTTGTGCCCCCCTCCCAAGGTACCTTCTGACCAGCTCTTATGACCCCCCCCTCCCCCCGCGCGCGCTCTGACCTAGACCTGGCACTCGCCGGCCACCAGCACAAGATTCAGTTCCCTGGTGGCAGGGCTGAGAAGAAGCCAGGGACCATCTGGCCACACACCTCATCTTTTGTCCCAAGAGCCTCTAGTCTCTGTGGTGCCAAGACAAATGGTCGCAGACGTGGTTTCTCCTCTCCTCTTCCATGTCCTGAGTCAAGACCCCAAGCCTCCTGCCCGTCCTCGGCCACTCACAGAACTGCCTCTCCTTTCCAGACCCCATTCTCTGGCAGCCCTCAGAGAGACCAGCAAGGTCTTGGACCATCCAGTCTCCCGGGCCTTTGGGAAGATGGCCCCTGGAATCTGAGGATTCTGAGTGTGCGGCCCTCGGCGCTCTTTGCCAGCAGGCTGACCAGCTCCCCGGCTGCACCCCGAGTCTCCAGCCTGCTGTCAGCCCACTGGTACCCAACAGCAGGCGGGCCTGCCGATGCCCAGTCCCCATCGCTCTCCCCCTTGCTTGCCCAGCCGGTGTAGGATCCCATTGCTCCGGTAACTTTGGGGGCCCCAGCCTCTCCAAGTGTCTGGTCTCCTGGGCCCGGCCCCTGCTCGGCGCTGGCAGACTGCTGCTCCTGTGAATCCCGGAGACAGCTCCTAACTGCAGGGTCAGAGTCGGGGGGGGGGGGCACCTGTGCTGGTGCTGCCCACTGACCAGGGCTCACTGGGACAGCAGGAGGACCAAAGCCCGAGACCACCCCGGAAGAGCCAGGGGGCGCAGGCCTTTGGGGGGTCGGTAAAGCGGCTGTGGTACTCAGCTCTGTGGTGCAAAAGCACTGCCAGGCTGCCGGGTCTTTGCCTGGAGGAGTCTGGACTGGGAATGCCCTCTGCCTCCATCCACGGACGAGACCGGACAGAACTCTGCAGTAGGCTTGCCCAGCCACAGCTAGCCGCCCACAGGGACAAGGTTGGCGTGAGAGGGACCACAGAGGAGCTGGAGCAGTGGCCCAGCTTCCTGCCTCCACCACCCCACCCCACCCCCACCGAGCACTTGCCTCTTTTCAGAGCCAAGGGTTAGCTGGTGCTGCCCACCCCCACGGCAGCCTCCTTTCCCACAAGCATGTGGTCTCTCCTGCGTTCTGAAATGGCTGTTTGTGTCCCCTCCCCCACCCCCCCACGCTCACGCGGATCCTCGGGGAAACATGAAGCAGAGGAGGGCTTGGGCTGTGGTGCCTCCCAGCCTTGGCGCCCCCATGCACTTAGCCGGAACCCAGCACCG